GAGGGGGCGAGCGAGCCTCGAGCGCGGCGCGGCGAGAGGTGATCTCGGGTGATCTCGGGTGATCTCGGGTGATCTCGGGTAGTCTCGCCTCGAGCGCGGCGCGGCGAGAGGTGGCCACGTGCGCAAAGCGGCGCGCGGCGGGCGACGGCGACGGAGGCAGCCACGGCCAGAACGGCGTCGCGAGCAGCGCGAGAGTCGCGAGCAGCAGCAGCAGCAGCGAGGGCAGGCTGGGCGAGACTAGCGACCACAGCAGCTGGATCGTGCCGGCCGCCGCCGCAGCCATCTCCGCCGCCGGCCAGCGCTCCACCGCGTAGAGACCGGCCGCTTGGAAGGCCGCCCTCAGCCTGCCGCGGGAGAGTACCCGAGATGACCCAAGATCATGGCGTCAGGGTGTGGGCTCAGGGTGTGGGCGCACGGGCTACGAAGACAGCGGACACGGCGGAGTGCGGCGGAGTACAGCGGAGCACGAGCCCTCTCGAGTGCGCGTCGGAAGACCAAACACGTCTGTACTAGGTCCGCTTCTAGAGCCGCTCAGCCTGCCGTTCCCTTCCTCCGCCCGCGACCCGGCCGCAAGCTCGCCGCCCGCCCCGCGGAACCACTCGCTCTCTCGCAGGCTCGGCAGCGTGGTCATCGTCGGCGACGCCACGACCGACAGCGGCGGCCGCCGCGCCGCCCGCCGGGGCGCGACCGCCAGCCAGATTCCGATGGCGAGGAGGGCGGCGGCCTGCGCAGCGGCAAGCGATCTCGGGTCATCTCCCGTCATCTCGGGTCATCTCCCGTCATCTCCCGTCATCTCCCGTCATCTCCCGTCATCTCCGGCCTGCGCGGTGGCAAGCGCCGACGTGGAACCCTCGGCATCGACCTCCGCCTCCGCCTCCGCCGCCGCCTCCGCCGCCGCCTCCGCCTCCGCTGCCGCCTCCGCCTCCGCCTCCGCCTCCGCTGCCGCCTCCGCTGCCGCCTCCGCTGCCCCCACCTCCGCCTCATCTGCCGGCGCGGCAACGGACTCGCCCTCCGACACAGGCGCGATGCCGCGGGCGGCCAAGCCTCGAGACCTCGCAAGTCGCCTCGCAAGTCGCGGCGTCGCCGGCACCTCCTCTGCCCGACGGCGCCTGCAGAAAAAAGAAACGCGTGCCGCGCGCAGGAAAAGGAACTCCGCCCACGCCGCTAGACGGCGCGCCTACAGAAACGAGACGTGCGCGCCTCCGAGACAGAAGGCAGCGATGCGCTTGCTTTGTCGCGAGGGGGCACCCCAGGCCCGCAGAGCCTCCGAATGGACCGGCGGCCGCATGCAAGGCGAAGGCGTCGGCGGCGCGCGGCGGCGGCGGCGGCCTCGGCCCTCCCCGCAGCGCAGGGAGGATCGATATGCCGAGCAGATCTGCGAGTGCGGCTCGCCGGTCGAGCCACGTGCGAGTGGTGGCGTCCGCCGCTGCGCCGCGACGGCACAGAACCGCGCGCCAGCCGCCCGGAGGGGGGACTAGGAGGCCCGCCATGCCGCCCGCGCCCGCACCGCAGCCGTCGGCCGGCGGAAGGGGCGGCGGAAGGGGCGGCGGAAGGGGCGGCGGAAGGGGCGGCGGAAGGGGCGGCGGAAGGGGCGGCGGAAGGGGCGGCGGAAGGGGCGGCGGAAGGGGCGGAAGCGGCGACGCGGCTGGCGAGAGGAGGGGCGGGGAGGGGAGTGGGTGGGGCACGAGCGCCGCGTGGGGGGTATCCGCCGAGCTCTCCTCGCCCGCCTCGCCCGCCTCGACCTCCGCGAACGAGAGGCGCTCCCGAGCCGACCCGGGAGGCGGCGAGGAGGGGGGTGGCCTCGTCGGCGCGGCCGCCTTCGGCAGCGACGAGGGCGGCGGCGGCGCGGGCGGCGGCGTCGGTGGCGAGGGCGGCGGCGGCGGTGCCGGCGGCGGAGGAGGCAGGGCGAGGTGGACTGCGTACCAGGCCAGGAGCCTGCAGCGTGAGTAGCACCAGTGTCGGGGCGGGCGGTCTCGCGCAGCGTACTCGCAACAGCGCGTGAGTACACGGGCTACGAGTACAGTGAGTACAGCGGAGTACGGCCGAATACAGCGGAGTTACAGCTGAAATACGTGCCCTCTTGAGCGCTAGAACGCAAAGGTCCGTATTCAGCTTCTAGGGCCCGGCGCCAGAGGCAGACGTACCCTCGCAGCGGGAGCCGCACACAGCACGTCCGAGGTGCTGCTGTCGTGCGCATCCCGCCGCCGCCGGTGGTTCCAGCGGCAGCGGCGGCGGCGCGGCTGATGGCGGCGGCGGCGGCAGACGGGAGCGTGAGCAGGCAGCCCAGCCCGGCGCACAGCAGAGGCAGCGCCAGCGCGCTCGGGTGCAGCGCGGCCGCCGCCGCCGCAGCGACCAGAGCTGCTCGCGGAGGGCGGGCTCGGGTCACGGGCGGTCCTCGGGTCCACGGCGACCAGAGCTGGCAGGCGCGGCGGAGGGTGGAGAGGAGCTTGCCCGACGCGGCCTCGAGGATGAGGACGGTGCTGCTCGCGAGGAGGACGAGGACGTGGCAGGCAAACAGCTGTGAGTCGAGCGGCTCATGCAGTACGGCCGGGATGACGAGCGCGGTGACGCCGACCAGCACTGCGCCGACCGCGTGCACCGCCGGAGAACTGCGGCTCAGCAGCAGCATCAGGTAGAGGAAGGGAGCCCACGACGCCCGCTGGCTGAAGACGGCCGTCGCAAGGACGCTCTTGAGCATCGTGACGTAGAAGACGGTTGACAGATCATCGCTGGCAGCCGGCAGCGGCGGCGCGGAGGCCAGCTCGAGCGACCGGACGAGGCCTGCGTTGTTGAGTGTCGCCGCGGCGCTGAGGGAGACGGTCCTCATCAGGCGGCTGGGCGCGCTATCGGGCTAGCAACGGCAGCTTGGGCCAGCTGGTCGGCCTGATGGCGTACGCTTGCTCATGTGTTCATGCCGACAGGAAGAAGAAAAATTTTGGCATGTGCCCGGTGCCGGACCCTGTCCTCCTCCCCTATCTCTCGTTTGGGGTGTCTGTTTTCTTTCTTTTTGTGCCGCGTCCCGCGCTGCGAGTTCCTTTAACGAAGAAACTGGACGCATGCTTGGCAAGGGACTTCCCACGCCCGCTCCTCCTCGTGGTGAAACACGCCCGCGCCCGAGCGCCCGAAAAAAGAAATAAAACGGAGAACCCAAGGGAGGGATGGGAGGACGCCCGACAGGGGACAGGAAGGAAAAGAATTTCTACCTTGGCGGCCCGCCATGAAATCTAGCCGTGTGTGCTGGCGTCCGGGTCCCAGCGGGTTTTCACGTAACAAGTACACACACTGTGTGTATCGCGCGCCTTGCGGGGGGGGCGCGGAAAAGAGGAACCTCTTAGCGCCATCGCCACGGTGCTGCATGCAGCGCCGGGCGACGACGGCTGACTGGTGACGCTGTGTTGCCCTTGAGCTAGTCCTTCCCCGGTCGCCTAGCCTCTGCGCTGTCTGGCGAACGCCTGTATGCCATGCGCGCGGACCACACTTGCGTGGATACGTGGCTGGCAGGCTGACCCGTGTGCGGGGTAACCCGTGCACGGGGAAGCTTCACGGGTTCGAGTCGCCAAACATTAAGCAGCGGAGGTGTGCCGAGCCCGAGGGGGACCGGGAGGCGGTAAGCCGTCGTTGCCCGGCGCTGCTTGCAGCACCATGGCGATGACGCTAAGAGGTTCCCCTCTTCCCCCCCCCCCCCCCCCGCAAGGCGCGCGATACACACGCACGACAACATTCTTGCTTGCTCCCTGATCGAGACTGCCGGGGCGCCGTATCCCGTATGGGCCTCGGGGTGCCCGAGAGAGAAGAAGCTTGGACGTGCGGTTTTGTTGCTTGTGTCTGTTGGTTCATGACATGGACCAGCCCTGGGGAGCCTTTGACCGCTCGAGGAGGGTGTTACGGGGCCGTGATGATTTAGCGATCACAGCTGCAGGGGGGCCGTGTCCGTGCGCGCCCCTGTCGCCCCGCGGTCGCCGGGTCGGGCGGGAGAGGGCGTGGACTGCGCGCTTTTTGAGTTCGAGCCGGGGTAGAGACTCCTATTTTCACAAGTTTCGCGTTGAAATTGAGCTGCTGAACAAGTCCCTCTTGTCCCAGGGTGCAGGGAGACGATGGAGCGAGGGGGGAGGGACGACACTGGCCATGTCACCCGGACTCAATGGACAATGCCTTTGTTATGAACCCCCCCAATGACGCACACCAGCGAGGGAGGGCGAGACGATCGAGGGGTCCCGTACCATGCGGAATCGACCCTATCCAGTGCTCAAGTGCGCTTCAAGTAACACGTATAAAACACGCCGTGCCGTGCACATTTGTTTATTGTTTACGGCTTCCGTACTAGACCCTGACCTCTAGAGGGTTGGCGCGGCAGTGTCGAGGGCGCGCGCCTCCGCTGCGAGACTGCGCGCGGCGGCGGCGGCCTCCTCTGGCGAGCGGCACACCACCACCCTGTCGAAGCCCTCCGAGGTGCGCGGAGCCACTATCCACGACGAGATGCGCCGCACTATCTGCTGCAGCTCTCGCGCCGACTTTGAGCCTGAGTCGACGTGCCCCTCGTGCGTGGCGCGGCGGAGCACGCGCCGCCGCGCCACGTGCTCCGGCACGTCGAGAAAGATGGCGACGCGCGAGGCGGGCCTCGCCCCACCCAAGTTGAGCCAGTGCGCACGCTGGTCGGGGTCAAAGTTGCAGCGGTCGATCAGGACGTGGCGCCGCTGCCTCAGCGCCTCGTGCGCGGCACGGATGCACTGCTTGCGCGAGCCAAGGACGTCCTGGGAGATGCGGGACCAGCGCTCACTGCTGCTGCCGCCGCCGTCAGCGCTGCAGCTGTGTGCGAGGAGCAGCTGCTCCGCAAAGGTGCTCTTACCCGCGCCGGGCATACCAACCATGACCACGAGCAAGCCTGGCACAGCCGTCGATTCGGTCGGCAATTCTCCAGATGTCCCGGCTAATTGTCCGCTCTCTCCCTCCACACACGCACACGCGAGGGAGTGTGGAGGTCGCTGCGTGCGCGGTGCCAGGTGGAGCGCCGGAGTGGCAAGTTGCGTCTCGACCTCAGACACGCCGCCGCCGCTGCTGCCGCCGCCGCCGCCGGACTTGGTGGCGGCCTCCTTGGTGGCGGACTCCTCGGCGACGACGGCCTCCTCGGTGGCGGCCTCTCCCCTCCTCCACCGCATATATGCGACCCACCGCCGTCGCCGTCGCCGCCACCCGACTCATACAACTCGTACGACGACGATGACGGCGGCGGCGGCGGGCTGCTGGGCGGCACCGTGATTTTCTTCCTCGTCGTCGCGGTCGGTCTCTACTGCTTGGTGCAAGCACAAGTCGAAAAGTGGCGCCGAACCGGTAAACCTCAACCCACCCGCCCTTCAAGCTTTGACTCCTGCACACCTCAGAGTGTTGCCCTATAGGGCCAAGATGGCGTCGAGATGAACAACCAACCTCGAGATGTTGTATTCGCTCTCGGCGACGATGATGAAGTGAGGGTCATGCGTGCTCGAGACTCAAGGCGCAACGGCGGCGGCTACGTCAGAGAGGGGGGTGTCTCGCACGGCGCCCGCCAGCGGACGGCTCTCTCGTTTGCGCAGCCCGAGGCGGACGCGCTTGGGCGGCGTCCTTGGGCGGCCCGCGCGCAAACGACGACCCGGCGCAGCCGCCGGCACCGAGAGAGCACTCCGGGCAACGCGCGAAAAAAGAAAACAATGCTCCGTGCAACGTGCATCCCCAGGGTCGTGCAAAAAAAGACAACAACGAACAAGCAGGAATCAAAAGGAATGTAACGGGGAAAGAAATCGCGGTCCGCAAAATCCACACGACAGAACGTACCCAGCTACCCCTTACTCCGTCTCGCGCGTGATCGCGAAGCGCAGCACGCACGCCACAAAGTCGCGCGCCGCGATGCCGTTCGTGTTTCCTGCCGAGTCGAGATGGTGCCGCTCGTGGATCTCGTAGAGCGAGAGGACGAGGAGCGCCGCCCGCGCGCGCGCCGCCGCGGGGAAGAGCGAGTGGCTTGCCGGCGACCACGGCGCCGCCGCCCGCCGGATCAGCGCCGCCGCCTCGCCCTCGCCGCCCGCGGCGCGCCGCAAAGGCTTCGGCTCGCCCTCGTGCAGGCTTGCGCCGCTGCGCAGGAGGGAGAGAGCGCGGGCGGCGGTGAGGGTCTCAAGGTGCGCGAGCGGCGTCCAGCCGCGGCTGGCGACCAGCCAGGCGGCGAGGTCGGCGTGGCCTTTGCGGTTTGCGATCTCCTCGGGCGTGCCGAAGGGAGTAGCGGCGCGGGAGGCGCCGTAGGAGGAGAGAAGCTTGGCGACCTCGAGGTGGCCGTTGCGGCACGCGACGAGCAGCGGCTTGGCGCCATTCTGCTTGGCTTGGTTGATCGCTGCGCCAGCCTCGAGGAGCAGCCGAACGCACCCGAGCTGGCCGTTCTGGCACGCAACGAACAGCGGCGTGGCGCCGTCCTGCGTGGCTTGGTCCATCGCCGCGCCGGCCTCGAGAAGCAGCTCGGCGCACTCGAGCTGGCCCTCCTGGCACGCAGCGTACAGCGGCGTCAAGCCGCTAGAATCTGCTTGGTTCACCGCAGCGCCAGCGGTGATCATCAGCCGAACGCAGTCGATCTTGCCCTCCTGGCTCGCAGCACTCAGCGGTGTGACGCCTTCAGCATCAGCTTGGTCGATCGCCGCGCCAGCCTCAAGGAGCAGCCGGGAGCACTCGACGTGGCCCTCCTGGCACGCAATGAGCAGCGGCGTGACGCCTTCCTCATCGGCTTGGTCGACCGCCGCACCGGCCTCGAGAAGCAGCCGGGCGATGTCGAGGTGGCCCTGCCAGCACGCCATGCACAGCGGCGTGGCACCGTCGTTCATCGCTTGGTCGACCGCTGCGCTGGCCTCGAGAAGCAGCCGGGCGCACTCGAGGTGGCCTTCCGAGCACGCGATGAGCAGCGCCGACGCGCCGCCGCTGCTACCACCGCCGCCGCCCGTCGTCGCCCCGACGCTCGCGCCGGCCTCGAGCAGCCGCCGCACCGCCTCGGCCTGCCCGTGCCGAGCGGCCCAGGTGAGCAGCGTGTCCTGCTTCTCGGTGTCGAGCCGCGCGTTGAGACTGCCGCGCGTCCGCCGGCCGGAGAGGTGGGCGCGCAGCGAGGCGAGGTCGGCGGCGGCGATGTCGGCGAGCAGCGTGGCGGGCGGGGTCGCGGCGGGCGCCATCACCAGACGCGGCGGCTACGTCAGAGAGGGCGGTGTCTCGCACGGCGCCCGCCAGCGGACGGCTCTCTCGTTTGTGCACGGGCGTCGAGGCGGCCTCGCGCTCAGGCGGCGTCCTTTGGCGGCCCGCGCGCCGACGACGACCCGGCGCAGCCGCCGGCGCAGCCGCTGAGGTCTGGGGCGGGGGCTCGAGAGCGCCTGCCCCAAGCGCCGAACTTGCCCCCCCAGCCTGGCGCGCGAAAAAAGAAAAAGTGCGGGCTCAAACGGTTGACACGAGTAGGGGTATTCAAAAGTATAAGAACAGCGGGAAGGAGTGAATCGAGTCCAAGGACACATCCCTATGGAACAAGCTACAAGGCATCTCGACTACATCGGGACAGTACCATCTCTCTCTCTCCCAACTGTGGGACATCTCTTCTGTTTTGTTGTTGCATCTCTTCTAGTAGGTATACACGAGTAGGGGTATTCACACTCCCAACTCCCCCATGCGTTCCTTAGATCCTTCTCTCTCCCGAGTGGCTTTTGACCTGAGCTGTAGGGATTCCTGTAGGTAGAGGAGTAGGACTTAGTTAGGGCCACCCCCAAAGTGTATGCATGGATGTCGCGTGCGCTTTTCATCGCCCGCCGCGAAACGCGCGGTGTGGGGTTGCAGAGACGAAATCTGACTACTGACAAGCGGTCGCGGACGCCACCGTTTTGACGCGGTTGACGCGCCGGATCGACATGCTGCTGCTGCTGGCCTGCACGCCCGCCGCCGGGTCCAAGGGTGGCGCCACCCGCTTCCCTGGCAAAACCACCTCCTGGCGGCATGCGGACGCGGCGGCGAGGATGTGGGCCGAGTCGGGAGACCATCGTTTCAGCTTTTCTGAGCTGGGCGACTCCCCTCAAGGCGCCTGGACTCTCTGGGGGGAGGCGGGGGCCCCCGGAGGCACCGTGCGCCGCGCAGCAGTGGAAACGGGGCTCCGGCTCTATTAGTCTCTATTAGCACCGACTTTCCGAATGATTACGGTTGATTAGAGGGCAGATTTGGAGAGATCTCGAGGAGTACATACAGATAGACCCTCCAATCATAAGAAAACTCTAACCTGATTGGTGGTACTGACCGCCGACAGATCACTCCAGGCAGCAGACAGGCCGACGTCTGCACACGGCCGGCTGGGCGAGAGGCTTGACACGATCCGACCCTGCGACCCTGACGCTGCTGCTCTAGCTATCAGACATGCGCTGCTGACTGCTGCCACAATGTGCGACCGGTGCTGACCCACTTGGCGGCCTTCCCGGTCAGTGGTGAGGCGCAGTTCAGAGCTGTCGATGGCACGATGCCGCACTGGTCCCACAATCATCGGTGACACGAGACCACCACGTTTGCCGGTCCAAGAGAGAGGCACCGGCGCTGTCCTGAGAAGGTGCATGGTCCCTCTTGACTGCCCATGCGCGCGAGGCTGTGTAGGCATAGCCTCGAGAGTGCCAGCAGCCAATCCGAGGCAGTTTGTGACGCGCATTGCGTCAGAAGCGTGCACGCGCTGGAAGGACACCTTCCTACTGGCCGTACGATCAGGTCGTCACTGACTGCCGAAGACTAAGGCCGCGAGCTATGCAGGCGGTCAGTTGAGCAGCATGGCACGGTCAGCAGCGCCGAAAGGATGTCGCAAGGCGTGATAGCTGATAGCATGGCCGCAAGACCGCCGAATGCTCATGAAAACAAGAAAAATCGCTTTAAAAAAACAAAAAATCGGCGCCTGCGGCGGGCTGGGGGACCCCATCTCCCCCCCGCATGGGTACCCCCTAGGGCCCTCGCCTCCCCCCAGTGCCCAGAGCCTGGACTGCCGCGGCAACGCGCGAAAAAAGAAAACACCGCGGTCCGCGTGCATCCTCAGGGTCGTGCAAAAAAAGACAACAACGAACAAGCAGGAATCAAAAGGAATGTAACGGGAAAAGAAATCGCGGTCCGCAAAATCCACACGACAGAACGTACCCAGCTACCCCTTACTCCGTCTCGCGCGTGATCGCGAAGCGCAGCACGCACGCCACAAAGTCGCGCGCCGCGATGCCGTTCGTGTTTCCTGCCGAGTCGAGATGGTGCCGCTCGTGGATCTCGTAGAGCGAGACGACCAGGAGCGCCGCCCGCGCGCGCGCCGCCGCGGGGAAGAGCGAGTGGCTTGCCGGCGACCACGGCGCCGCCGCCCGCCGGATCAGCGCCGCCGCCTCGCCTTCGCCGCCCGCGGCGCGCTGCAGCGGCGTCGGCTCGCCCTCGTGCAGGCTTGCGCCGCTGCGCAGGAGGGAGAGAGCGCGGGCGGCGGTGAGGGTCTCAAGGTGCGCGAGCGGCGTCCAGCCGCGGCTGGCGACCAGCCAGGCGGCGAGGTCGGCGTGGCCTTTGCGGTTTGCGATCTCCTCGGGCGTGCCAAGGGGCGTAGCGGCGCGGGAGGCGCCGTAGGAGGAGAGGAGCTTGGCGACCTCGAGGTGGCCTTGGTGGCACGCGATGAGCAGCGGCGTGGTGCCACTGTTGCTGGCTTGGATGACCGAAGCGCCGGCCTCGAGGAGCAGCCGGGCGATGTCGAGGTGGCCAAAGAGGCACGCGGCGAACAGAGGTGTGGCGCCATGGGTCGTGGCTTGTTCGACCGCCGCGCCAGCCTCGAGGAGCAACAGGGCGCACTCGAGGTGGCCCTTCTCGCACGCGATGTACAGCGGCGTGGCGCCACTGTTGCTGGCTTGGTCCATCGCCGCGCCCGCCTCGAGGAGCAGCTGGGCGCACTCGACGTGGCCCTTCTGGCACGCCATGAACAGCGGCGTGACGCCATCGTCACGGGCTTGGTCGACTGCCGCGTTGACCT